GAGTGGCCCTCCTCTGGACCCTCTCCATGTTGTCCACATCCCTCTTGAAGTGCGGCACCCAGAACTGGACGCAGTACTCCAGCTGCGGCCTGACCAGTGCCGCATAGAGGGGGAGGATCACCTCCTTGGACCTGCTCGAGATGCATCTGTGGATGCATGACAAGGTGCGGTTGGCCTTCCTGACTGCATCCCCACACTGCCAGCCCATATTCATCTTGGCATCAATGATGACTCCAAGATCCTTTTCTGCCTCTTTAAAAAGAACCCTGCACTCACCGGCTGTTGCCAGGTGGGGGGGGATCCCACTTCCCCCGGCTGCCCCACACCATGTCGGGGGCTCTGTCACAAGCCCCCTGGCCCCTCGCCCACTTTCCCAACTGCCACCGCCCATGGCTGCCCCGCTCACCCCAGCTCTCAGGCTTTAAAAAATAAATAAATAAAAGTCCCAACTCACCAGCTGCTGCCCAAGTGAGGATGATCCCCACTGCCCCCCACACTGCCCAGCGCTGCATGGGGGGCTCTAACACAAGTCCCCAGAAGCCCCAAGGCTGCTGCAGCAACTGGTGAATCAGGACTTTTTTTTTTTTTAAAGGGCCGGGAGATGAGGCAAGTGGGGCAGCCATGGGGGGGCAGGCTGGAAGAGTGGGTGGGGGCTAGGGGGCTCATAACAGAGCCCCCTATGCAGCATGGGGCAGTGGGCAGTAGTGGGGATTGCCCCCCTGCTTGACAGCAGCTGGTGAATAGGGGCTTTTTTTTAAAGAGCCAGGAGCTGGGGTCGGGTGGGACAGCCATGGGGGGGCTAGGAGAGTGGGCAAGGGTCGGGGGCAGTCAGGGGGGCTGGAAGAGCAGGCAGGGGTCCCCCCATGGTCCCCCACACACACTTATGAGCATGGAGTCCAGATCCAGCTCCCTGCTGCAGCAAGCAGGGACTGCTGAATCACCAAAGCTCTCCGAATATTTTCCAAATTGATTCAGAGAGCTTCAAATTGATTTGGACCTTTTAATTGGTCTGATTCAATTTGGGTTCAGAGATTTGGCCACCAAATCAAATCAGCACCCAAAGCTTTGTACAGCCCCAGTTTCTAGTTCTGCAGTTCACGGAATGCTTCTCTGACTTTGTAAAGAGTCAGCATGACTCTGATGTTTAGGATACTACCTAATTAAACAGCTGAAAATGCACATGAATGACTTCAATATAGCTCAGCGCTTGAAAAGGTCAGAGCAGAATTTTAAAATGAAAGATACAAAGGGAGAACATTATTAGAAAGAAGTAATTCCTGTAGTCATTTTGTTCTGTTATGTTTCCAAGTTATTTAAGTCATGCCATTATAGTCAAGACATTATACTTTGCTGTTGACTTTGGGCATTTTTGTTGCGTGGGTCAATACTTTCTCTAAGAAAGGAGAATTGAACAATCCCACATTTTAACTGACAAGTTCCAGACTCATCGTTTTCTCACTCGCTCTTCCTCCTCACAGGAAGCTGCAGTGTACAGATAAACTGAAACTTTCAAACCCGCCAACACCCAAATGTGTGACATTAGCTTCTGCAATGTGTGAAGAAGCTAAACCTGAGGGACAGGGTAATAAATAGCAGAGAAAAAATGGAAATATTGTGCAATTCATTTTTCTTCAACACAAGTAAAGTTTTCTATAACTTTGGGATTTAGCAATTTAGCCAATACTTTATAATGATATTGCAGTGAGTTAGCAAACAGCAGATTGGAATAAATTTAGGCCTCATGACCAATGTCCTGTGGTTGATCAGTTAATAGGTCTGTGTGTAAGATTCAAGGCACATGCAGTCCATGGAATATTTGTGCATATTTTTCCACTGAAAGTTGTGTAAAAATTCTAGCATTCGGGTTGAGCTGATGAAGTGGATGTTTTGAAAGTTCATACTGTTGATGTCAAACAGCTCTGCCTAGCACTCTGGCTGGATCCAGATACTGCAGATTAAACTGGAAGATGCAGCTTGCTTTGCCATATGTTCAGAGTTTTCTTTGCAGCTAGTCAGTCATGTACTAATCTGAGTGGAAACATGGCCAGGTTCTATTCTGTTGCCCCAGTCCAGCTGTTCTGGTACCTCACGGAGCTGTTCAAAGTGGCTCTGGCTGTGGACCATGTTCCTATGCTGCTCTGGTCAACTCAAAGGTAAGAAATTAAAATGTACAGCTGCATTTATTGTGCTAAAAATCAGTTCCATTTCTTTGGCTGTATTTTGATGTGTGTAGAAAATATCAGTTGTGATCATATAATCAAAGGTTGTAGTGATATATATACACAAGTGGCTAAATTAATCCTGGCATTTCCTTACTTTTGCATACCTGACTTTACACCTTCATAATTGTTTTTAATAGCTTTTTTGTACGTATATATGTTGTAGTGTTCATTAAGTTAAATAGCTAGAAGGGCATGCATTTTTTGAAGGTCACAAGAAGTTTCAGTACAAAGGATTTTAATATACTTTTCAACCTGACATGAGACACTTGAAAGTAAGAAGGTTTAAAAGGAATTGCAAGGTCATAAACTACTTTTGACCAGGTTTGGAGGGATTCCAGAAAAGGATTCATGACCTTATTCCAGAGAATAGAGGGAACAGAACTGCCATGCCTAAACTGTTTCTGCTGCTCAGCAGACTTGTATAATGGTGGTTTTAGGTAAATTGTTCTAATCTCTGTGCTCTACTACTTTCCTGCTGTTAATCCTGTCTTTTTAGATTGTAAAATCTTTGGTGCAGAGCCCGTCTCTTACCCTATGTATATAAGCATGTATAATATCTAGTAACATGACCTGGAATCCAGCTGGGGCCATTAGATGCTGCAGTGATAATGATAATTACCTTCTATTTCACTCTGGAAATTTGACATCTTTTTCCCTAAATAATTTCAAACTTTGTCGTGATGGGATGATTTCCCCTGCTGTCAGTAGCCTCCCAGTATTGCTCATCTCTTAATGTTTCTATAAAAATCAATAGCAATAGTGGGGAGGGAATGACTTGCAGGTGATTCAGTAGTGTTGTTCAGTCACAAGTTCCCAGGCAGGTTATAAGGTAAAATGCTCTTGGACGGGGAATAATCCTGCTTCTCAGCACCTTTTGATCACTACAAAGTTCAAGCAGACTTGACAAGTCTGGATAGATGAGACCTGATTCTCTTAGACTTGTAGCACTTCACTAACTCCAGTGGAGTTACCTTAGTTTTACACCTCAATAAAATGAGAAAGGAATCAGGTCAGTGGTTTCTGGGAAGAAAATCAACCTACAACAGTTAGTTGAGCTGGTCTTCTCCACTTTCCTCAAGATTTTGACTCAGCAGATATTATGTGAAGCACTATAAAGTATTTCCACTAGCAGGAGTCAGAATTAAATTCTGTTTTCATACGTAACACTTATATTCTTCTAAATGCAATACTTTAATGAGCAACTGCCTTTGACAGATGAATAAGAGGATGCTTTCTGCATCTCTAGTGTATACTCCATTCCAGCTAATTCATCTTTACATCATTGCTGATTAACCCCACTCTTGACAAATGCCTATGTTTCTCTAAGGTATCTGTGGAAATTGCATCTTTGGTTCCTGAGGAACAGGAAAAATCTAAATACAACTATGAGGCTGAATTAGGTTAGTTAACTTTGATGGTTTCTTTTCTGAAGGAAGGTTAAAATTGATCCTTTGATTTCAGTGGCTTTGACTTCATTCAGAACACTAAAAGTTGACTAATTATGCATCTTCAAATAAAATCTAAGAGATCTAAAAGTGTGCATTTAAAATAAAACTAATTCTGATAACAATTCTTTTTTTCTTTTAAGGATCCAATGTTTCCATTTTCCTGGTTCTTATTTTATATAAACATTATACCTTTTGCCTGTATAAACAAAGTGCTGCTCTTGTGTTAAAACAAAGGTCATTGCAAGATGAGTGTTCAGAAAGCAGAAGTCAGGTAGTCTAGAGTGGTAACAAAAATAAGCTTTGCTTTAGCAAGCAATTAACAACCTGTTCCATGCAGTTTATTCAGGGTAGTTAGCTAGTCTACAGCAAGAAAATCAGGTAGACATTGTGGTGAAAATAGCATTATATTTATATGAAAACAACTCTTCCAGAAAGAAATGTACCTATATCCATGACCTTTTGTATTTTAGGGGAAACTAGCATAATTGGGGATATGTGAGAGGGCACCCCAGGGGCCAATTTAGCAGAGGCACCAGAATCACCCCCCACCACTGTGGAGTCCGTGCCCTGGCAGCCTTCCCATGCCAGAAACTCTGAAACAGTATCTGGCTCCTGCAACTTTAAGAGCAATAGCCAGAGGAGAAGAGCACGCGTGCGAGCAGCAGCTCAGCTAGGAGTGGAGTTGCAGGAAGGAGTAGGAGTACTGCATCCCATTACCTCACAATCCAAGTGCCCCCTGCTGTTGGAACCCATGTCGTTCTCCTCCCCCTGCCCCCACTCTCCTTCAGGGTTTGTCCCAACTATGGTTGTTAGGCCATTGTTTGGGGAGCAGTTGGGGGGGGGCAAGTACTCTGATGTGGGAGAAATTATTTCTGGTGAAAACAAACAAAGTAAAGATGAAAGCTATATGTTTTTATAAATATACAGCAGAACCAATGGTAACTTTAGTTTGCATCAAAAGACACTTCTATATATTTAGTTTCAGTTTCTACATGCCATACTCTAAGACTAGGGACAGAAGTTAGACATAAGCCAGTTTAAGTGATCAGAAGCTGGTTTATACCTGTAACAGAACAGAAGCTCAGTGCACATAAACCAGTTTCAAAATGGCTGAAACAGGTTAAGTAAACCTGGTTGAATGTAGTATCAGACTTAACTGATTTGGGTCAAGTAGTTTATGAAACTTCTGTCCCCTTCCTGATTCAAGTTAAATCACAGTCTCCCAGCATGCTTTGCAGCCCTGGGCTGGGCTGGGCTGTGTGCTCCAGCAGAGAAGGGCTGGCCCTGCTCCTCTGCTCCCTAGCTGAAGCAGCAGTGAGGGTTGGCTGACAAGTGAGTGGAGTGGGCAAACCCAGATGGGGATGCAACCCACTCTGTGGGGGGATGACTGCCCCCACCCCCAGGCAAAAACTGGCTGGGGTTGGAGGTTGGGGGGGAGTTAAACACCCCTTCCCACACTCAAACTTACTGCTGGCTGCAACTGTGGACTACAAATCTCAGAGGCACCAGGAAGCAGGAAGAGGAAGTGATGAGCAACCCTGCAGAGTCCTACTGTTGTGATTCTGTACTACAAATCCTAGAGCAGGGGTGGGCAAAATATGGATCACGGACTGAATCTGGCCCACCAGGCTACTCTATCCAACTCACAGGACCCCTAAAAATGTAGTAAATTAATATTTATTTGCTCTTGGCTGCCTGCCAAAGATTTCACAGATTTCATAGACATTAGGGCTGGAAGGGACCTTAAAGGTCATCAAATCCAGCCCCCTGCCCCAGGGACAGGAACTCAGCTAGGGTCAAAGGATCCCAGCAAGATAAGCATCCAAATGTTTTTTGAATGAGTCCAGAGTAGGTGCCTGCACCACTTCTGGAGGGAATCTATTCCAGGCCTTGGGGGCTCAGACAGTAAAGAAGTTTTTCCTTAGGTCCAGCCTAAAATGGTCTTGGAGGAGTTTATGACTGTTGGTCCTTGTTATCCCTCAGGGCTCTGTGGTGAACAGATGTTCCCCCAGATCCTGATGCACACCCCTTATGTACTTAAAGACAGCCACCAGGTCCCCCCTGAGCCTGTGCTTTTCCAGGCTGAAGAGTCCCATGGCACTCAGCCTCTCTTCATAAGCCCTATTCTTTTGCCCTCTGATCATGCACGTGGCTCTCCTCTGGACTCTCTCAAGATTCTCGACATCCTTCTTGAATTGTGGAGCCCAGAACTAGATGCAGTACTCAAGCTGTGGCCTCACCAAGGCTGAGTACAGCGGGAGGATGACATCCTGAGATTTACTTGAGAAGCATCTATGGATGCAAGTTAGAGTTTGGTTTGCTTTACCAGCTGTGACATTGCATTGGTGGCTTATGTTCATCTTGTGGTCAGTCATGACCCCCAAGTCTCTTTCAGCTGTGGTGCTAGCAAGCATAGCACTGCCAAGCCTATTAGCATGCTGCAAGTTTTTTTTCCCCCCAAGGTGGAGTACCTTGAATTTTTCAGTATTGAATGTCATCAGGTTTATATCCGCCCACTTTCTAAGCTCATCCAAGCCAGCCTGGGTCACTAGCCTATCCTCAGGTATGGACATTATGCCCCAAAGTTTGGTTTCAGCGGTGAACTTGGCCAGTGTGCTTCTGACACCAATGTCCACATTGTTGATAAAGATGTTAAAGAGAGCTAGTCCAAGGACAGAGCCTTGGGGGACACCACTGGTCATGAAACACTATAATGATTCACTTCCGTCAACCACTACAGGGTCTGACCTCACAGCCAATTTCCCAGCCATCAGATTGTCATGTAGCTGAGGCCACAGTTGGCCAATTTTTCCATGAGGAGATCATGGGACACCAGATCAAAAGCTTTTTTAAAGTCCAGATATATGATGTCAATCTCTTCTTCCTCGTCCAGGTGATATGTCACCTGGTCATAGAAAGAGATGAGATTGGTCAGGCAAGACCTACCTGCAACAAACCCATGCTGGCTGTCCCTCAGATGATAGGAGCCAGGGGCAGTAGGACTCAGGGAGAGCTGGCAGCCCCACCCCTCCCCCATCCATTTCCCTGACTTCCTGCCCCCTCACTGTTCCAGCACCACATGGCTCCTGGATGCATCCCTGGACCACAGGAGCACAGGGCCACACCAGTACCCCAGGGTATGTGTGTGTACTCGTAGGGTGAGTCTCACATACATGCCCCACCTTGTACTGCCATACACGCAGACACCCACACCCCTTCACACACCCCAGATACCCTGCTCTCACACACAGCCTCCCACAAACCCCATATCCACACACACACCCACACCTATCCATCCATGAGTGCCTCGTGCTTCCTGAAACTGGGGGGGCACGGCAACCACCTGAAGATGGTGGTGGCGGGGGCATGGTGGCAGCATGTGGGGCCTTCCAGCAGGTGGTTGCAGCAGTGTTGGCAGTGAGAGTGGGGGTGGTGAGCACCAAGTAGTGATCAGCAACTGCCCACAGACACTGCCGGCAGCAG